CGGGCGCTCCATGCGATAGTCCTTCTCCAAAAGTTCATACACTTGCGACAGGTCAATCCCAGGATACGGGGACATGCCGTACGTGGCGATTTCCCAAAGCAAGACACCAAAAGCTGTGAGGATGGACAGGAAGAGAGTGAGCCTCGCTCCTTGTTTATATACAGTAGCTCTGAGCTGGGTGGTTTTCTTGCAGACAAGGTCCCTTCCAACTCTCTTATTCTGTATTCTTACCCCAGACGTCAGATTTGATGGAGAATTTGTTATAAGCCAGGCTTTCCGGCGCGGTCCACTTGATAGGGAACTTAGCTCCAGCGTGGGCGGTGTACGTATCACCAGTCATCAACCTGCTTAAGCCAAAATCAGCTACCTTCACCAGGTGATTCTCTCCCACCAGGCAGTTTCGGGCAGCGAGATCTCTGCAAGGGCAGAAGAAGATGGCTGTTAAGAAAAGATCGAGGGAAACCGCTTAAAAACTTAAGCAACTAAGGAGTAAGGTTAAGAACGTGCCGAGCGAAGGCAAATTAAAACAATGCTGAAACAAGTTTTAAAAAATGCTGAACTTAAAAAAATCTCCAAGAGTAGAAAGACATAGAGAGGAAGATAACACAGGTAGTATGATTTGCAGTTTGGATAGGTGATACATTAAACAGGGAGATATAAAAATGTTAGAGAGAGAGAGACAGGGTAGGATGGATGGATGGATGGATGGATGGATGGATGGACGGACAGACAATAGACAGAGAGAGATAAACAGATGTGCTAGATTGCACTGGAGTGAGAGGCTATACTAAAAGGAGGAGGAGGATTAGTTGACAGACAGATAAGGAGATGGATAGAATCCAGGGAAAGACAGATTAGACAGACGGAGAGATAAGACCACATCGGTACACGTGATGACGTGATGGCCCGGTGTCTGGAGGCCGTACGGGTCTGGATGGGGAGAAACAGACTCAGGCTCAACCCTTCCAAGACTGAGTGGTTGTGGCTGCCGGCTCCCAGGTATGGTCAGCTGATTCCATCGCTGACTATAGGGGGCGAAACCCTGGCCCCCTCGGAGAGGGTTCGCAACTTGGGGGTCCTCCTGGACCCACGG